GCATATGTATATATGTTTGGGGGAGAGGGATTTAGGAGAGATAAAAACAATTAGCTTCTAAGAAATAAATTATTGCTTTGGAACAACTGTATCATAGTAGAAATCAATATATAGACTGCCAAGTATAAATTGGGAATCATTCCTAGAGACCAAGGTGCTCTGGACATGGTCTTATTTCGAATTTTAAAACTCACATTTTGCATGTGAAGGTGAGGTTTATTAAAAAGATACTCCCCAAAGAATACTTTGCTTTCATTTAAATGAGTTTGAGGAATCAATGTGGAAAATCAAAATCCATCTACACTTTTGGCATACAATATCAAATGAAAGATTTTATAGCAAATCTTTCATATTTAAAAACAACCCCATTACATGAGACATTGTTTTAGGCAAAATAAACAGCCCCTTTCCCGAACATGGTAGTATAAGATAATCATAAAGAGTGTCAAATTAAAGCCCCTTTGCCAAGAAGTTTGAAGTTGGTTTCCATATGTTTGTATCTGCCACCTTCCTCTGGACACACACACACACACACACACACACACACACACACACACCCCTGGGTACTTATAATTTGCATATTATTGAAGTTTACTATATATGAAAGTCAGAGAGAATAAACTGCCCCACCAGGCAGATTCTGAAAAATGCTTTTGCTCCATTTTCTTGGCCTGGGATTTCAGCCAATTGTACAAACAGGAAGGTTGGGAATACCATGGTCAATAACTGAGGAAAAATATAAATAAATTCAAGGAGACTTGGATAAATTCATGCAATACAGATACATGGAAAGTTGTTAAGAAACAGGTACTTGAGGGATACTTCTACTTTTAGAGTTGACATCCAGAGGACAACCATGGCTTCTCATAGTCCATAGTCCTGTCTGAAAACACTCTTAACCTGGAACTGCCCAAAGAGCAGACCTGTAGGGACTGGTCTACAACTTTTTACAGGATTGTTTACAAACACAGTTGTTTCTCAGTTTACAAGAATTGAGACTACTGAGCCTGAAGAAGATATGTAGCAGCAGAAAATATTAGAATTGTCTTCAAAAATGTGAAGGGCAGACGTTTTAAAGCTGGACTGGACTGTTCTGTGAGGCCCCAAGGGACAGAACAAAGATCAAATAGTGGATATTGTAGGGATAGAGATTTTAGATCAATGTAAAAAGAATATTCTGATAGAGCAATCCATAGATAAAGTGAGCTATATTCATAGATAGTGAGCCGTTCATCATTGAAAGCATTCAAGAATAGGCCACTTATCAGAGATATTGAATAGGAGACTCAGTAATCTGATGAATGACTGTACTGGGCCAGTGTTTTCCAATACTGTACATATAAAATCATTTGGGGAACTATTTTAAAACATGGGGTCTCATGCCCCACCTCAAGATGCTAATTCCATGCATTCCAATAATCTGTGTTTTTAAAGCAGCACCCTAAGTGATGACAACACAGGCAACCAAGAGCTACTCTTTGAAGAATAGTTAACTGTTTTCTGCTTTGCTTTTTATTTTTTTTCACATGCAAAGGATACAGCAGGGAGGCTGGAAGTTGGGCCTGTGGGGCAGAGAGAAGCCTGAGTAGAAGTAGCTGGGGCCTGTCTGACATGAAGTGGTGTCTTGAGAGTGATCACAGCTGACTGGCTGAGGTCAAGCCTCTTGCTCTGTGTGTTCCTGTCAGGGACGGAGAGAAAGGAAAACCCTTTCCTCTAATCAACAGGGACCAGTGGGAGATGATTATTTCAGGGGCTGGAATCTCAGGTCGAATTTGCACTGTTGCATTGATGCTTTACCAAAGGTTTAGGGAGCCCCAAATGAAGATCTCTAGAGGGAAGCTCAAGTAATGGTATCTGGCTAAAGACTATGAACAGTAAAACAGCCTGAAAACTAAAAGTAGGAACCAAATGAAACTACAAAGAGAGAAATCATGACCAAAAGTCTTGAAATATTTACAATTTTGACCTTTTTCTCCTCTGATCCAGATAACGCCCTTCCTTTTCCATTGCCCATTTACTGGGCTAGTCTTGAATGACCAGGACTACTGTATTCATGTCTTTATGAATCGTTCAGAGAGCCCCACAATTCCTATCCTAGAGGACTGCAGGTGTCCAGGTCCAAGTGCTGGTTATCAGTGGAGATCTCCAATCCATATGACCTAGGTAAAGGCTGTGGGTAAAAGGAACTTCTTAGAAAAATATGGGGCAGATGATAAAGATAGATCAGGAGCCTGGAAACTCCTACCCTTTGGAGAGAAGCTCTCTACTACTTTCCTTTACCCGATCCTTACTTCCTTTTCTCTTTTCTTCCTTTACCTGCTGCGTCTTGAGTAGTCAGGACCGTTATGTTAGTGTTTGTACAGAGGCGTCAGGGAAACTCCCCATGAGTACCCCTACCTCAAACAATTTAGATGAATATCCATAGATATTAGTCAGCATGGGAAAATTAAAGCCACAGAACCTGGAAAGAAGTAGGGACACCAGCAACTTCATAAAAAGAAAGAAGAAAATAGAACATAGGAGCAGACTGGTCAGGAGCTTGGCAACTCATGCCAACCTGAAGAAGCTGTCCTACTGGTCCTCTTTCCCCATCCAACCTACAGGTTATCAGGTGGTAAGGACTTCTATGTTGGCGGTGTTATTTATTTATTTATTTTTTTTTTTTTTTTTGAGAT